AGTTCCATGGGGTCAACCCTCTTCTGACCTTCTTGGACTTTGCGTGACACAGGTACACTTACATACATGCAGGGATACCACTTATACACATAAAATAACATAAAAAGTAAAAAAAGAAGGTGCTCTTATCCACTGAACCACCTATCCAGCCCAGTATTTACCTGTGTGTGTGTTTTAATTTTACCCCAACATGAGTCTGTCTGTTCTAAGAATCTATAGTTTCCATTTTTTTGACAATTTGCCAGCCAACAATTCCTATTTGTTATTGTCATCTCAAAGTGGTAATGCCCATCTCGGTTAAGTAGTTCTAGTTATACATATTAGTTAAATTGAACTTCAGATTTTTTCATAGACTTCAAGGGAATAGAGTAAACCATACTTCATTGCTTTGGGTTACTTAATCATTTAAAAGAATCATTCATCAAGTATTTGGTGATGTTTATATTATATTGAGATGTGTAGCTAGAATATTCTCAGCATTATACTTATTTATTTTTCCAGTCTGTAAGCTTTCATAAAAATCAAGTAATAGTCTTCCTGTGTTAGGTGCTGAGTAATCAGAAAAGATACAAATACATATACTTTACTAAGACTGATGGGCTGTAAAAAATGAGCTTCATTAAAGACAAAATTCCTTTCCTCTTCTTTTACAAAGGAGCAGGAAGAAATCCTTTACCTTCGTGAACTTTCCAAGTGGTTCTTCTGGGAGCACGATCAACCACATCACAAAAATTGGATTCTAAGTTGTACATATTATTGGTTATTGAAGTTCTGGGTGGGGCTCAATGGGTATGATCTAGCCTCTTCCATATTCTGAGACTTCTTCAGTATTAATATTTTTATAATGTTGTCAAAGTTGTTAAATTTAACTTCGCATAGCAAATTTAGACAGGATAAACTGCAGTTTTGATTTCGTTTTGATGTGAGAAAAAACACATTGTATAAAGGTTCATAGTAAATCCTTATATGTATGGAGCCACGGAAGGCATAAAATTCAATTGATAGACAAGCTGTTAAAATAACTGCAATAGGTGCTTGATGTTACTCTAGCACTTCTGATATTGAAATAATTTTTGTACACACTGAATGATTATACTTCTTTGAAGCAAAGATACTGTCTCATTATTCACTGCTGAATAAACGTTAGTAAGTAGATGTTATGTACTGGGAAGTGAAGGAACTCTTGTGCTTTAAGTTCCTATTTTTAATTCATGACTTTGCTGTTACTCTTGTCTCCTTGCATTTCCTCCTGGCACTCGTTTCATTAATAATAGAAAAGTTTGCAGTCTTAACACACTTCATGTTTATGCACTGAAGTTCTTTCAGCTGGCATTGCTGATGTCCCTCCAAAGCTGCTTCTGTTATGATGCATTGTGCTTGAAAATAGAACTTTTTAAAAAACAGAAAAGGAATATTTCAATAAGCCCTGCTTTAAGAACAATTTTTTATTTCCATACAATACAGATAGGCCAAATAATAGATGCCAAACACTAAATTATTTTATCTTTGGTAGTGTTCATAGGTTATTGTCTCCTCTAGATGGAAGGATGCAGGCATTATTAAGGAGTTATGTCCTCCATTTCCTATCATTTATTATTTTCGCCAAGCCCAGCAAATGTTCAGTGTTAATCTAAGAAAGATTAATAAGTTTTATAAATATTATAAATATTATTAAGAATAAGTCCTACATTGTTCTTGCCAACTAAAGCAAAAATATAACACTGATTCTCAAGAGAAAATATATTAAGAACATATGAATTCAAATTTTTAATTAACATTTTATTTCAAAGCCATTTCATTTTCTGAGAAGGAAAAGTTTCCATTTGTCCTGACATGTAAGAGAGTACTATTTTTGAGAAGCTGAGGGCTTGGGGTACTTAATTCCTACATTGTTCTTGCCAACTAAAGCAAAAATATAACACTGATTCTCAAGAGAAAATATATTAAGAACATATGAATTCAAATTTTTAATTAACATTTTATTTCAAAGCCATTTCATTTTCTGAGAAGGAAAAGTTTCCATTTGTCCTGACATGTAAGAGAGTACTATTTTTGAGAAGCTGAGGGCTTGGGGTACTTAATGAGTAAAGTAAAAACAAATTTAAAAGATGCAATAGAAGCTGGGTGGGTGGCAAACACCTACAATCCCAGCGTCAGAGATAGAAAACAAAAATAAAAACAAACAAAAAGTGAAAACCACACACAAAAAAGTTCAATTGTTTTTTTGTTTTTTTTTTTGCAGTATTCATGTTAACTTTAAAAAATGTTCTTGATTTATTTTATTTTTATTTTAGGTGTATCAGCGTTTTACTTGCATGTATGTAAATGCCCCATGAGCATGAAATGCCATCGGGGCCAGAAGTGGGTATTGGATCCCTTGGAACTGGAGTTGTAGAGCGTTGTCAGCTGCTGCCATGTGAGTGCAGAGAACCAAAACTGCTGGGCCATCTCTCCACCTCCCATATTGTCTTTTTTTTTTTTTTTTAAGAACAGAGATGTGTATACTCAAAAACTGGGTTGATTATTCAACAGTAATTAGATATTTATATTTTTGTATTTTGTATACCTCCAAATCATTTTTAAATTTAAGACAGTGGAGATGGCCTTTTATACCAGAAAGCTACAGAAGAAAATTCTTATTCTGGAACTCACGGGGAAGAATTTTTTTCTTCGATTTATATTGAACTTGATGTTTATTCAGGTAAGAATTTAAGAAATCTTAAAAGACTGCATGTACAAGAATCAGTGTAACTTACAACTGCATTATAAATATTATAAGTAAATAGATAGAATGTCAGGATTTTTGTTAAAAGCATTTTAAAATTTAATTATTTTAAAAGTTATTAAAGCTGATTAATTAAAACATAGCTTCATTTAGGAACACCAGACATGTTGTTTTTGAACAAAGACAAAGCTTGATGTTTTCCTCTAATTCTTAAATTAACTTGGCTAGAGAAACAGTTTTAAATTGTTATAAATAATTAATCAAGAAATGTCTACATTTTTTTCAAAGTATACATTTTTGTCCAGACTTTAATGCTTTCATTTTGGGAGAGTATTCTTTAAAGACAAGCCAAGTGCAACATTACAAAGCCAAAAATATGATTTCCTCCACCTCATTAATATGTTCCTGGCATTAAGAAAAGAGTTTTATTCTGGGTAACTTTACAAATGGCTGCATAAAGCCTGTGTCATCACTATTCCTCTTGCAGGCCCATTGTGAGCAATTTATCATAGACTCTAGTTTATTTTACAAAGATGTAAGTTTTTCTCACGTATAAAACACATTTATCTTTGAGAATTTACATTTTGAATTATGATCTTAATTTTCTTATGAGATTTAATCAATTTTACATTTTAAAGGAAAACTATTTTCTGGATTGTGAAAATGTTATATAGTTATAAATTGAGCAAGTATTATATAGTCCAAACACTCCATAGTTCACAAGATAGCGGGTATAAAATGATAACATGCTTTCTTTTAATTTCCAAATTGCCGTAGCTTGAGTTTTTACCAGCCTAATCAGTAGAAATTAGATTTTGTTATTTTTGAGCATTTCCTGTGTTCTGCCTCCCATATGCCCAGGAACAGGTGGCCTCCTCAGCCCACTGCTGTCTCTGCTGTTTGCCATCCTCATGAGACCACTAAACATATGGGCTCAGCAATCTCTTTCTCCAAGTGTCACAATCAACACTATTGTTTTCTTGATCTCAAACAAGCATGATACTTCCTCTTCTTTATTTGAGAAAAGAGATAGATCCCCTTCTAACTCCCTACAGCACAAGTGAAACCAAGTTAAAACATTAGCTAGAACAGTAAAGGGTCAGGCATCATGGAAAGTGAAAGAAAGACAGTAAGTCCTAATTGTTGTAAAGTGACTACTTTTCGATGCAGAGAGCCTCAGAAAATGTACTGGTCCAACTTCAGGTTGGCTGACATCTTTTTCTTAGGAATGTCCCAAGACATGCCTGACTCAGAGCTTGGTCTAAACATCTTATTGCAAAGTGAAGATTCATGTTCATCCCAACATAGTGTCCTGGGTCCTCATTTCCTGCCTCATCCTGCTCATCTAGATGACTGACAACGAGAAAATGTGTTTCCTGAAGGAAAACTCTACACCTAGCCTTAGGAGCCATCAAAAGATGCCACGGCACCATGTTCAATGGGTTTCTCTGCCTTCAGTAGTGTCTCATTTGTATGCAGTCATCCAGGTGCGTATGGACTGCCTTAGCCAATCCAACTTCTTTTCAATACGTAAAAAGATTGGACCTATGACACTTTCTTCTCATCTTCTACATCTCTGATTTCCATCTCAAGTATTCACTGGGATGGATAACTCTGCAAATGTATAGTAATTGACACAGTATGGCTTAAATCTAGTTTGTGAAAGAAACACTTTCCAAAAATGCAATCTGTGAAAGCACCTCTAAAATTTTTCACAGTTTACATTATTCAATTAACTTTCCAGTTAACAACCCCCCGCATGATTTCTTTTCTCTGAGTAATGGATTAATACTATTATATTTATTTCTAAGTAAAAATGGAACTGTGTCAAAAAATGTGGAGCTTTCTCATAACATTTTTGATACTGGGATTGAATTCAGGGTCTTGCGTCAGCTAAGTACATACTCTACACTGAGCTACACCCTTAGCTCTCTCATAATTTTCAAAGGTAGCATTCAAAGAGTCTTGTAAATATTGTCAGTAGCAGAGACAGCAGTGTAAGGGGGAAGGTCATCAAGTTAAAAAAAACCCTATCCATCCAAAATACCCCAAAATAACCTCAAGTTTTGGAATCTAGAGTATCCTACAAGAAACTGATTTTTTAAAATTTATTATTTTTATTTTATGTGTATAAGTGTATTGCCTGCATGTGTGTAAGTGCATCAGTATTGTGCAATACCCATGGAGGTCAGAAGAGAGCATTGGATCCCCTGGAACCGGAGTTATGAATGGTTGTTAGCCATCATGTGGGTGCTGGGACTCGAACCTGGGTCTTCTGCAAGAGCAGTCAGTGCTTTAACCACTGAGCCATCTATCCAACCCAAGAAACTGAATTTTAGGAAAAGTTTTCAATTAGCAATAATTGCATCTCAGATAAACCTCATTGGCTACAATACTGCCACTGTGCAAAGCTTAAGAAACTGAATTTTGAAGACCACTTTAAAACATCTTTCTATTTGGTGAGTCTCAGGTGGGTGGGGCTGAGCTCCAGAAATTGGGCTCTGAGCTACAGGTTGCTGTTGGGTCAGGCCTACAACACAGGCTGATTCTGGTATCTAACCTCTGTGGAGATGGACTAGGACATTTCTTCTCACTGTGAATTCCAAGATCACAGAAGGCAACCCAACCAACCACACAGGCACATTTCACCTTACACTTCAATATTATCCAGATGTATTCACTGGTTAAAGGAAGATGGATGGCCAAGACCAGTGGAAGGTCTTCCAGTCACTGGGGTTATGCTCTTGAAGGGGAGAGTGAGCCTCTTATTTTTCTCTCTGATTTCTACCCATGAGGTGAATGGCTTTGGCATTCCGCATGATGCCACCATGCTGTCCTGCCTAGCCACAGCTCTAAGGCAGTGAGGCTAATTGGTCATGGACTAAACCTTCAGTATTATGGATCCAAGCATCCTTTCATTTTTCTGAGTTAATTATTTCAGGCATTTATCACAGTAATGGAAAGCTAGCATAATCACCAAGGTCAATGTTTTTCCCTGGTCCTGAAAGATATGTTTGGTGTAAAAAAAAAACAAATTAAACATAATTATAGAAAATAGTAAATATATTTCTTGTGCATATAGGTTTGTAAAGTGAGAGTCATACCTATTATAGATTATCTCTGTTCCTACAATTGTCACTTGTATTATGATTAGGGGACTTTCTGTAAATTATATATATAGAGAAGTTAGGAAGCTTCTGTTAATTGATGTTGGTTCCTGCACCTCGTAATGTGCCGGTCATACACTAATTGATTGGGTAACTGAAATAACTCTAGTGAAGCTGCTATCACTGTGTTCCTCCATCCCTGGTAATTTTTGCTCACTTACAGTTTTATTAAAGCCTTTGTAAATATAAAGTCAAATGACATATAGTTTAAACTTCAGAAGTCTTTGCTCTTAGAAGTATGTTTCGTTAACTTCTTTTTTTCTTATTTTTTATTCTTGATGTAATTTCTTGAGAAGAAATCACAGAATATAACATGAGAACATTTTAAACAAAATGTTCATTAATCACACTATGTCTAAGTCTTAAGGGTAAAGGATACTCACACACTGTAATGGCACGAGCTACAGAATTTTCAAGACAATATGGATGAGTAGGAAGGGGAAGCAGAGAACTGCCATGAATGACTCACAGCTCTCAAGGGCCAGAAAGTCAAGCACTGTCACCCAAGAGGAAAATCGGGCAATGAACCAGGATTACTCCTCCTGTTAAGCAAGCTTCATGTAAATCAGGGCCATTGTTGGTTTCTGGGATGACAATAGCTGGCTAGTTGGCATGCTGTGCTTCTTAGTCACTTCCTTCGGATTCTTCCACCTCTTTGTGGTGCCTGAGCTTCAAGCTAGTGAGCTCAACAGTTCTATACTCTCACTCCAAGCAGATAGCAGATGTTTTTCCTACTGGGAAACTATCAATGTTTTCAACTTTATTTGATTTTATGGAGAATAATTGTATCAGTAATACCAAAGCATATGTATAAACTCACAAGTATGAGCTCACCCATAAGGAATTTGGGGAAATGATGGGTTCTTGTGCTCATTCCTGTATTTACTCAGTCACATAGGTAGCAGACATGAATGTTAGGTTCCTGGCAGGCTCCTAAAATGGTGGCACAACTCCCAACATCTACTTTTTTT